TGAATCAACCCTCTTCACTAGCTATGTATCAATCAACCATCAATGTACTGTTGACGACAAACGATGGAACTAAAGAGTAATCAATAAATTCATGAATAAATAATACTTTTTTTTATATAATACAAAATACTTTATGCATAATACATAAAACATAGTACGTTATATATATATATAATACGTTATTTTGACGTAATACTTCATAAACTCTTACTGGATTCCAGGTTTAGTTTTTGTCAAAATTAAACTGTTTTTTGCCACTCTTCTAAAATCCGTGTACTGGGATTTAAACACAGATATTCACTAAAAATTGGGGTTATTTATATACGTTTCCATTCTTACAGCAGCAATTGGTTTTTTTAATTTTTCAGATTAGGTTTAATAGAGAGCAATTAGGAATGTTTATTATATTTTTTGTCAGCAATATCAAAATCTTAAGACGAAACAAGACACGCTCTGAGGATGAAGGATGTAAACAATACAAATAGAAGAAGAAGAAGAAGAAGAAGAAGAAGAAGAAGAAGAAGAAGTGGAAGTAGAAGTAGAAGAAGAAGTAGGAGAAGAAGAAAAAGAAATAGAAGAAGAAAAAGAAGAAAGAAAAGTAGAAGTAAAAGAAGAAATAGAAAGTAGAAGAAGACTAAGTATAAGAAGAAGAAGAAGAAAAAGAAGAAGAAGAAGAGGAAGAAGAACTAGAAGTAGAAGAAGACGAAGTAGAAGAAGTACTAGAAGAAGAAGAAGAAGAAAAAGAAGAAGAAGAAAAAGAAGAGGAAGAAGAAAAAGACAAAGAAGAAGAAGAGGAAGAAGAACTAGAAGTAGAAGACGAAGTAGAAGAAGTACTAGAAGAAGAAGAAAAAAAAAGAAGAAGAAGAAAAAGAAGAAAAAGAAGAAGAAGAGGAAAAAGAAGAAGAAAAAGAAGAAGAAGAGGAAGAAGAAAAATAAGAAGAAGAGGAAGAAGAAGAACTAGAAGTAGAAAAAGACGAACTAGAAGAAGAAGAAGAAGTAGAAGAAGAAGAAAAAAAGAAGAAAAAGAAGAACTAGAAGTAGAAGTAGACAAAGTAGAAGAAGAACTAGAAGAAGAAGAAGAAGAAGAAGAAAAGAAGAAGAAGAGGAAGAAGAACTAGAAGTAGAAGAAGAAGTACTAGAAGAAGAAGAAAAAAAAAGAAGAAGAAAAAGAAGAAGAGGAAGAAGAAGAACTAGAAGTAGAAGATGAAGTAGAAGAAGAACTAGAAGAAGAAGAAGAAGAAGAAGAAGAAATAAATAACAGTTGAGAAAAATTGTGTCAAAAAAGAATAATAAATCCTAAGATAAATTTTAAGAAAGTAAACAAAGATAAAAAAAAAAATAAAAATAACGAAAATGAATGAAAAATGGAAAGGAAGAAATGAACGAATAAAAGGCAAGATTGACATTCAGAAATATTTTCTTCAAATGATGCCTGCTTAAGGAAATGTAATTTCTTTCCTTTTTAAGGGTAAAAATCAATAAACGTTTAGATTGGGGAAAAAATGATTGCGTTGACCTTCTTTCTGAAAAACACCACATCTGCAGCTTATCTCCCTTTATATTTCTTTCCCTTCTCGTTTTGCACAAGATTCACAAAAATCAATTTCATGATCCATTCGGACATATTCAATTCTTAGCTAATTACCGATATGTTCTTAAAACAAAATATTTTTTTTCCGGATCGAATCTTTCTCTTTTTCAGATCATGGTACGATTGTTTTCGGGTTGAGGAGTTCATTCGACATTTGAATTTTAAGAAGCGGTTACTTGCTCTTTCAATCTGCCGTCAGTGTTAAATTTTTCCAAATCGTCAAACCCCTTAATGCGTACAAGAAACTGCAACTGATTCTTTCTGATTTAAGTGTAAGTGTCGGAGGAAGTGGACATTTATAATATTCAATTTTGATAACAACAGTGATTTCATTTCGAGTGTAATATTCATTCGTCACACACACATACGCTCACACACACACAGAATAATATTTCTAAAATAATACTGGGGGAAAAAACCAAAAAAAAACTGGCAAATGTGAACAATCTCCTTCCTGCAAAATAGAGACAAAAAAACATATGATTCAAAAGTAGAATTTATTTATTCTAGAATTACACAAGAGAGAGAACTAACTTAGAAGTGAGAATTTTTTTTTGCGATTTACACTTATATTGAGGTGTACGGAAAGTTCATGTCGATGTTAAGTTGTTCATGTTTCAACCCGTTAGAACACTTCAGATTTATCGACAGATATATTATATGTTTAAGATGTGCAAGGTTTTACTGAGTGTAAAAAAAGAAAATATTATTAAAGAGAGAGAACAGTATATAAAAATTTAAATATAAAATTGAATTCTGAGATCAAGACCAAATATTTCGTTCAGGCATGAAACACACTGTCACCGATCGGTGTCAATCTCAGTGTTAAATTTGATATCTTTTTTAACAGTATGAATTATGTCTACCGGCGTGTGCATTCGAGAAATTGAATAAAAGAAATATGTGTATGTGTGTGTGTGCTTGTGTATGTATCTGTGTTGGTGTGTGTTTGTGTGTGTGTATGATAAAGACATAGTTTGAGGTATGCTATATGTATGTGTAAAATGGTATATATTAGGAATAGCATGTGTACAACGAAAAAAGTGGATGCTACAGTTGTACTGTGTCCATACACACACACACACACACACACACACACATTATATATATATATATATATATATATATATATATATATATATTCAGTCACATGTATATGATTTCGTCAAACTTTTGAGATCATCAGGCAGGCTGGTTTATTTTTTTATGTTAGCTATATCACTGATTTTGAGCACTTTCTACTAAGTACTGCGCATATAAAATAAATATATTGCTGCTGATGCAAGACTCTTCGTTAACACGAATCTTGTTCTCTGGTCACTAGCGTCTTTGTCTAAAAATAATTCAGTCGGGATTCGATCCTGTTTTGAGTCAATTGAATGTCTAGCCACACTGATGAGCTGTGAAACAGCGGAACAGGCTGTCTGTGGATGACAATATATATATATATATATATATATATATATATATATATATATATATATATATATATCACACAACGTTTTCACTACTCGGAATTTCATGCCAGATGGTTTCATGAAACTCAGAGTAGTGTACACAATATATATATATATATATATATATATATATATTAAGACATTTTATGTTTATACATTCTTTTATAGATACAAATATTTAAGTAAATGCTCTGTTTATAATAAACAGTATTAAACAACATTTACCGGCCTGAATATCCGAGAAATTTTCACAGAAAATATTCGTCCGACAGGATTCGAACTTGTATCCTATAGGAACAGTTATTTAGCTTGACGTGCCTTTACCGATTTGGCCACAGAGGCGCGTTCAGTTATCTATAAAAAAGAATGTATATACAAAAATATCTTAAAATAATTGTCGCACTTTGTCCATTTCATAATATATATATATATATATATATATATATATATATATATATATATATATATATATTCTTTCAGATATGGGTGGAATATAAGAAAAGACTGGGATCTCTAGCCTTTCGTACTAATCAGTTTTGTGAAAGGAGTACGCGGCATTGAAAACTGTGGAGAAATCAACATGAAAGTTCTCCACTATCTTTCGCAAGAGTCATGGCATTTAATCAATTATAAAGGAATAGAATCGCAGGAACGTCATAGTCCCTACGGCTTCAAGAGACCTGGTATTAAAAAATACATGTTCTAAAATTGCAAATTCCCTCGGTGTTGTAATGTCTTCCCTCTAATAAGGCTATTATGGACTCTTCTACTTACTATGAAGTATTAGGAAAAGTAAGCCTCGGGGGGAACAGTAGTATAGATTGTTCAACTGTCAAACTCTCTGCTTCGGAAGAGATGAACTCGCAGGGCAAAGTTTCGTCCGGGGAGGTAGACAGCTCCTGAACCCGTCTAGGCGGGTTCAAAGGGAATATTTTTGGCCGAGCCTACGGGTTCGGAGAAACCCACGTTAAACTCGGCCTTGCGCCACATACATTTCTTGTGTGGGGACTGTTAAATATGACAGTAGTGTAGATTGTTCAACTGTCGAACTCTCTGCCTCGGAAGAGAGGAACCCGGACGAGGCTTTTCGTCTGGGGAGGTAGACAGTCCCTGAACCCGTTTAGGCAGATTCAAAGGAAATATTTTTGGTCGAGCCTACGGATTCAGAATACCCACAATAAACCGGCCTTGTGCCACATACACATTCGTGGGTGGGGGCTCTTAAATATTAACAGTAGTATAGATTGTTCAACTGTCGAATTCTCTGCCTTGGACAGTGAGGAACCCAGACGAGGCATTGCCGAAGGGCAAATTTTCGTCCGGGGAGGTAGACAGGCCCTGAACCTGTTTATGCGGGTTCTAAGGGAATGTATATGTTCTCCAGCCGCGGAGAACCCACGGTAAACAAGGCCTTAAATATTAACAGTAGTATAGATTGTTCGTTGCTATCGAACTGCCTGCCTTGAGCAGAGAGGGACCCGGACGAGGCATTGCCGAAAGGCAAAGTTTCGTCCGCGGAGGTAGACAGCCCCTGAACCCGTTTATATGGGTTCTAAGGGAATGTATTTGGCCGAAAAAAGATGGATTTTGGTCACAACACATGGCAAAAGAACATCTGTTATTGTGTAACGAAAATGGTACACAGCGATATTTCACAACGAAGGCAAATTTTAACTTCATTCCGTTATAAGATTTTTTTTCGTTGTTTTTTTTTCTCATTATATCAACACTTTGCCGGCTATTAAAAACCAGAAAATATTTTTAGATTGCAAGATAGTCTTGGAGACAATAATAATCTACTGACACAAGTCTCACTAAGTAACCCATAGCTTTGGGGGAAAAGCTGCAGGTATTTGCGCGTAAGTGAATATAACAAAAACTAACTAGAATTGTAACTCAGCACTCCAAATAACAATTTCGAGCCGGTGTCTACACCCACCGAACATCAAAACTTACATCACCTAGTCCTCCCTAGCGGTCACCCATTTAGAGACTTATCAGGCTCAACGTTGCTAAATTTCGGTGATCGCACGAGAACCGGTGGTTTAACATGATATGTCCGTAAGTATTCTAATGTAAGAGAATATATCTGATGAACAGATGGTTTAAATAAAAAAAAAATCAGCAAATATACAAAGAAGACAGTACAATATGGTAGCAGAATTCTAAAGCTTTACAGGGACATAACAATAAGCGTGTAATAATGTTGATAAAATAAATGTAATAATGAATTCTGAAAAGTATATTACTTTGCTACGTCCCAACTATAAAGATCAAGATAGCTTGAGAATGATAGATACGGTCTGATATCGAAGCTATTAACAGATACAGTAAGCTCGATCATAAGAAGAATTGACATTAACAAGCTATACTAAACTACCCAATAAGAAAAAAAGACACGCACAGACATTAACAGACCTACGAGAAGAAATTTTAAGAAACATAAAGATGAATAGAAATTAATAGATATACAGTGTAACCCGGATATAAGAGACCCGGATATAAGAGAAACCCGGATATAGGAGAGATTTTCTCTGGTCCCAAATTAGAGCCTGTGTTAATGTATATAAAATAGACCAAACCCGGATATAAGAGAGATTTTCTCTGGTCCCAAATTAGAGCCTGTGTTAATGTATATAAAATAGACCAAACCCGGATATAAGAGAAACCCGGATATAAGAGAGATTTTCTCTGGTCCCAAATTAGAGCCTGTGCTAATGTATATAAAATAGACCAAACCCGGATATAAGAGAAACCCGGATATAAGAGAGATTTTCTCTGGTCCCAAATTAGAGTCTGTGTTAATGTATATAAAATAGACAAAACCCGGATATAAGAGAGATTTTCTCTGGTCCCAAATTAGAGTCTGTGTTAATGTATATAAAATAGACAAAACCCGAATATAAGAGAAACCCGGATATAAGAGAGATTTTCTCTGGTCCCAAATTAGAGCCTGTGTTAATGTATATAAAATAGACAAAACCCGGATATAAGAGAAACCCGGATATAAGAGAGATTTTCTCTGGTCCCAAATTAGAGCCTGTGTTAATGTATATAAAATAGACCAAACCCGGATATAAGAGAAACCCGGATATAAGAGACTTCTCCGGTCCCGACAACTCTCTTATATCCGGGTTACACTGTAGTAAAATAGACCCGTAAGAAGGATAGACATATACAGGTATTATCAGCTCCATTAAAGTGCACAATACGAAAGAGAAAAAAACCATAGACATTAACAATTAGACTAACATAGCTTAAAAAATGATAGACGTTGAGAAAAATAAATGATAATTATTGACAGATAAAACGATATATAATGAGAAAATTATACATTAGCAGATGTATCAAAATAGACAGTAAGAAAGGGAGAGATGTAGAGACATTGAGAGATGTAATATGATAGATAGTAAGGAAAACAGATATGGAATGGTACACATGAACATACATTAGTAGATATACTAAATTGATAGTTATATGCAAAGACACACAATTATGAATATAAAGACCGAGTAAGTGAAGTATGTAGGTTTATTTTCTCAGCATAAATTCTATCGATATATCAAAGCTAGCTAGCTAGCTAGATAGATAGATAGATCGAAGCATAATGAGATAGATATGAAAATAATATTAATGCATAGATAGTTATGAACATAATGAGATAGATAGATAGATAGATAGATAGATAGATAGATAGATAGATAGATAGATATAAAAATAATAACATAAATACATAGATATGAACATAATATGATAGATAGATAGATAGATAGATAGATCGGAGCATAATGAGATAGATATGAATATAACATAAATGCATAGATAGTTATGAACATAACGAGATAGATAGATAGATAGATAGATAGATAGATAGATAGATAGATAGATAGATATAAAAATAACATACATACATAGATATGATCATAATGAGATAGATAGATAGATAGATAGATAGATAGATAGATAGATAGATAGAGAGAGAGAGAGAGAGAGAGATAAACACGTGTGAAGAAGAAGAAGAAGAAGAAGAAGAAGAAGAAGAAGAAGAATTGGACAAGAAGAATAAAAAGACAATAATAATATGACTATGAAGAATCAAACGGACGAAGAAAAAGAAGGAAAGAACAATAGTGGAATAAACAGATTGAAGAAGTTGAAGGAAAGACGTAGAATAAGAAAGAGAAGGACGAAAAGAGAGAAAGAAGGAAGATGATACTGAAAAAAAGGAAGAAGAGGAAAAGATGGATGACAATGATGCAGAACAAAGAGGAAGTAGAGGAAAAGGAGGAAGACTAATGACAATGAAGAAGGATGAGGGTAAGGTGGTAGTGGTAGAAAAGAGGTAAAGAATATAGAATATAAAAGAGAATGTAAGAATAACAAGAAAGAGAGTGAGAGAGATGAAGGAGAAATACTAAAGAGAAAAACTAGGAAGGGGTAAATCGAGTAAAAGAAGGAGAAGGGCAAGGGAAACAGAAGAAAAAGAAGAGAAAGAACTTAGAAAGGAAGCACGAAAATGCAAAAGTGGAGGGAAAAGATAAAACAAGCAATATATATATATATATATATATATATATATATATATAAAGGAAAAAAAATATAAAGCGGGGAAAATATGTCGGTCAATAAAAAAACAAAAGATGGAGGGAAAAAATGCGGGAAATATTTAACGAGATCAAAATAAATTTGCTCAAGACTGTATGGTCGGAAATTAATATTTACTCTATAGAAAGATTAACAAACAAATCTATTTGCTTCTTTTGCATATTGAGGCCGAATATGCAAGCTTCGGACTGGAACGTCGTTTTAAATTTGGCCAGTGGGGTTTGCTTATTTCAAGCGATTTCATTTCATTTCTTCTTTTATTTATTTATTTATGTTATTTCATATATATATATATATATATATATATATATATATATATATATATATATATATATACTAATTGGCTGCTACTTTTTTATTATTTTAAATATTTTTGGTGAGGAAGACGAAAAGTGATGTTTGTTTCATTTTTTGTCTAATTGGACGTTTCATTATTAATAATGTTTTTGTTATTAATATGCGTATTCGCATAATTCGATATGAAGTTAAATTTGTCGCATTAATTCTGTATGTAGACGCGGATGTTTGTGTATCTTGGAAGGCTTATCAGACTATTTTTGTGGTTCTTTACGAAGGTGTTTCGGAAATTCAGCTCCCAGACACACATATCACTTCTCAAACGCATGTGAAGATACAGACGTAACACGCACATACACACACACACACACACACACACACACACACACACACACACACACACACACATATATATATATATATATATATATATATATATATATATATATATATATATATATATATTTTAAATAGATACAGACATAAAATAAGTTTTGATTTATTTGCCCATTAGCTGCCTGCTTCACGCTTATCGATTTTTCAAACGTTCTTCTGAAAGTGTTTAAAATTGAGCACTCATATATTAAAGTACTTCACTGACTTAATCAAAGAGTTGTGAGTTCAATACCTGGCCACAGCAGAGGTGAACAAAAAAATCGGCGAGTTGAATTACTAAAGGGAATTAACTGAAACTGAGATATCCAAAAGAGGCATGACACGTGGAACTAGAATACTCTACCGCTGTGGGCTAAATAAACGGTTCAGTCCGAAATTCCAAAGTATATAACCTGAAGAAGGCTGGGACGTACAGCGACCGAAACGTCGTGAATATGACAATAAAGATGAAGACATCAGCCCGAACGATGTAAATACTCTAAAAATTGCAAAATTAGTAATTAAGTATGCACAGGATAAAAGCTAAACTTTAAATAAACTTGTATAAATGAAAGCCTACTCTCAAACACACTCCAATATATATATATATATATATATATATATATATATATATATATATATATATATATATATTATTTGAGCGTTTTGGAGTTTTTTTATAGTAGTTATATATATATATATATATATATATATATATATATATATATATATATATATATATATATATATATATATATATATATATATATATATATATATATATATATATATATGAAAAATATTGATAAATACATACATACATACATTATGATCAATAGATTGTCCTCATAATTATTAATCTGAAGTAGCTATTTGTCGGTGTTATTTTTTTTTCAATTTTGTTCGATTACACACTGTTAGGCTCTTCTCATATATATATATATATATATATATATATATATATATATATATATATATATATATATTAAAACATATTAGATATTATATGCCATTACACAATTTGGACAATTTTGTATATATATATATATATATATATATATATATATATATATATAGTGTATATAGTATATATATATATATATATATATATATATATATATAGTGTATATAGTCTATTTAGTATATATATATATATATATATATATATATATATATATATATATATATATATTACTGAATGTAATATAAAATTGTCCAAATCGTGTAATAGCATAATTAGCCATCCCACAATATGTTTAATATCTAAGAAAACGCTAAACTAATTGAGATACTTTTTTTTTTTTACAGGTTTTCTGATAAAACGTTTAGCCATCTTCCCACTATTCATCGAAAGAACCCTTTCAGTTATTCAGCTAGAAAGAGAACAGGTTAAAGCGTTTTGTGTCAGCCCCACCATACCTTCCCTACTGAGCAATGGTGAGAGAAAAAAAGGTCATTAGGGCCTTCGGTAAGGGTACCCACATTCATACTCTGGCTTGCATCTTCAAAGTTCATTCAAGAACCATCAAAAGAACGGTGAATAAGTTCTAAAAGGAAGGAGCAGTATAGAGAAAAACTGGATCAGGAGGTCACAACAGCAAGAGGGATCATCACTTCAACTTAGAGCTAAATACATTCTTCTTGTTCAAGATAGAGTCCAAAAGTGTTATAAAAACCTCGGAGAATCCAGTAAGGTATGTTTAATCATTCCTAAGGCACAACGGTTCAAAGTTTAATCTAACAATTGGACAATTTTGATTTTACACGATTTGGTCAATGTTGGTGACACACCCGATATATATATATATATATATATATATATATATATATATATATATATATATATATATATATAAATAAATATATATATATATTTTTGAGGATTATGTGATGGCTTTAATGTATCCTCAGATGTATATAAAAATACGTCATCCATTGATTACATCACAATTTTATTTGCCTTTGCCACAACTTCTCACGCGTTCTACGAAACTAAACAACTGTCTCGACATAAAATATCTGTTGCTATTGATATTTGCCTTAAAGAACATTTGCTAACTAAATAGACAGAACACGCACGCACACACGCACACACTATATATATATATATATATATATATATATATACACACACACACATACATATATATATATATATATATATATATATAAAGGGTGTTCTAATAACATGGATCGATTTTAATGTGAATTAAGTTAAAGCGTCTAATGATTATTTTCTTTTTCTTTCAGATTTGGCGGACATTTGGGTGATATTATTTTCCACACATAATTGCCATGACTTAAATAACATGATCCAATAGAGAAATAAATAAACTCTCACCAATAACACTGATTTATTTACTGCTGACTTTGATCCGTCTTAACGAAACACCCTTGTATATAATCCGTCTTAATGAAACATCCTTTATATGAATTTGCTCCATAAATATGCTAAAACTAAAATATGTTTCAGACTATGTGTATCTATAGATGTGGTTAGCTATGTATTCCTGTGGATATCAGTAAATATATCTGTTCATGTCATGCTTTTTGATATGTACCTACAAGTTCTGTTTATGCTAGTAAATTCGATGTTTTCTCTGTTGCTCCATCGATCTGTTTTCAAACAAAAACCCAATAACCGCCTTTGTAAAAATCATCATCTCGACAAATGTTTATGAGCATTTTTCCCTAAATCAATAATCTGGTGTTTTTATGCTAACAGGCATATATATTTATTTCGTCCAACTAAATTTGTAGCATATCTTTTAATAGGAATTTAAAAGTAGTACTTAGCATTGTGCAAATATGGCGCTAAATGTTTTTGGATCAATTTAATATTACCTTTAGTATAACGTCAATAATTTTCTTTTGAAGTTTATACAGTTTTTTTTCTTATGCATATATCATCGATCAAAATATATTAATATATATCTTGTTTGTTTGGACCTGTTTACTTGCAGTATGCATATTTCATTTCTTATCACACACATCAATGATTTGAATAGGCTACTGCTATTTTACTAACTAATTAATGATTTTATTGCAGAATGAAGACTGTATTCGATGCAATGACAAAAGTTAAGATTATAGAACGGGGTAATTTATGTCTGAATTTCTGAAATGAGGACTATCGTTATATCAGTTAGCCTGTTGAGTGCCACACGTGATACACGCTTGGGCGATCATGTCTACTTTGATTCATCACAGACTAAGCAGAATAATTTCCCGCGTTAGGTTGCCGTTTCTTTCTGCGGTAGACCCGTTGCCAACCAAGGCTATATGACCCAGTCTGTCTTGCTATTCAACCCATCGCTGGTACAATTGAGAATAGATGAATTCAGACCTTTCTCAACGGTATTTGCGCGTAAGTGATTATAACGAAATATGACTGGAATTCGAACTCGATTCTCTCATTCCGAGCCGATATCCATTACACCTCAAAGCATATTATATACACTAGCAGCATGGCCCGGCGTTGCCCGTGCTTAATTCAAAAATCGTACGAATCATACAGCAATCGCTATCATATATATTGCTGGGGCACACCCACCTTCTAACTAGTAATAGACTGGTCCCTCTTATATAAGTCAGCTCTGGAGAGAGAGTGACAGAGCGTCAGAGAGAGAGAGAGTCAGCGTGAGCAGTCCAGATAAGCTTACCCGGTACATACCGTTGGACTATAGACTTTGGATATTGTTTCGTACTAACCAACCTTCGTTCTACTAATCACTCTATTGTTAATTGCTTTTATGAATATACCAGTATTTTCCTCTACAACTGTGTTTGTCTTGATTCATACACCGACACGCGGGAAACTCACAACATCTCAACATATATATATATATAAAACGTATATATACTATATATATATATATATATATATATATATGTTGTAGCATGCCTAAAGACGATAATGGGCATGCCCCCATACAGTAGTAAATACTGTACGTTGGTCTGCAGTTGAAGATTCGTCTCCAGTCGTGCTGGTCAAACTCTTTGCCTCCGGGTAGAGAGGATCCCCAGACGAGGCTGTGTCGAAGGGCAGATTCTCGTCTCGGGAAACAGTTACCCGGCCCCGTTTCATACGGGGTCTACGCGGAATTTGGAGCCGAGCCTATGGGCTCGGGTACCCCACAATAAGTTCGGCCTTGTGCCACATCTGATCGGGCGGGGCGGTTGGTAGATATCCTGCAGTTGGAGATTCATTGTGAAATTAACTCACTTATAGTAGTTGACTACTACTTCTACGCACCGCTGGCGAATTTTATGTGTGGTTCTTGTCCTAAGTATTGTCCTTCATTACCAACCTTCTTTTCATTATTATATTCAGTAACCTTCCCTAGGTTACAACATATATATATATATATATATATATATATATATATATATATATATAGCATGTACCGGCGTTGCCTATGCTTGATTCAAAAATCGTACAACCCATACAGCAATCGCTATCACTTGACTTAAAATATTTTGCCCTTCCTTGTCTTTTAAAGGAGTGCTCTTTTCCGTGCTGATGTTGCTACATGCCTTTACTTCTTGCCTATCTCACACTGTGAATTTTTTTTCCAGCTCTATACTAAACATTAAATCTGTTACGAAAAAAGAACTAAACAAAATGAACACAAAACGATCAGCTTTAAAAAAAGACAGGACTCGTAACTGGAAAAACCGAATGAAAAAAAAGAATGTTAACAACAAATACTTTTTCACACCCAACCCAGTTCTGCGGAATCAAAATCAACGTTGAGTTTAAGCAAGCGAATGAGCCAATTGGAGTAAAGTGCCATGCAGATTTAAATTTTTCCCACTTGTGACGAATGCATCTATCGATTTTTTTGCATGCCAGCATGCTAGTTAACATTCGTGTCAGTCAGCTGTTGGCTCTCACGCTGGCCAGTAGAATCTTCCTGCCTATTCGTGGCAGCCAGCTATTGGCTCTCACTCTGGCCAGTAGAAAATGGCCGCAAACTACATGAAAACTGCCATAGAAGCATGAAAAAAATCAATTTCCACTATCCATGTGAGTTGGGAAATGCAACGTGGGTCTTGGCGTTCCCGCTAATTTGGAGCATGTGTATGTAAATTTTGGTGCAAATCCGTCGAAAATTGCGGCCATGCATTCGTTACACACACACACACACATCCTGCCTTTTATAGATGTAGAGAAATCACGTGGTAGAGATAAACACTTAGTTGTGGAGCAAGCTAAGTGAACAATAATCCAACCTTTAGAAAGAGAGCTATTTATGTTGCCATAGAGCATCTCATTGTGCTAAAGTGGGATAGTCCATTGCTTGGGCTGTGATTGGCTGCTGGTACCTGAGTGGAGGTATTTCTATATAAATACCAGCTTGATTTATCTGTTAGTTTGCAGGGTTTGTATTAAGTTACAACCTGCTTTATTTTTGTCTGCCAGCTGGACGCTAGCTGGGACCTTTACACCGGTAAGTGCTGTTTATTATTGTTATTCTACAATAGACAGAGATTACTTATATACAGACTAATATCTTCATCTTTGCTTTTATTATAACAACATTTCAGTCATCGTGCCCCTGGGCCTTCATTAGGTGATTGTCGATCCGGGAACAGAAATTTTTCTCGTACTATTTTCCGTATTTAAAGACATTGCGTCTTGTTCGCTGATTGTTAGTCCTGCTTTTAACAGAGTTTCTTTTACGCTGCCTGGCCAAATCAGATCAAAACTGGCGTCAAAATCGCGCTTTCTAACCTTGACAGAATTCAAAAGCCTTTACGCGGCCTTGTGGGTGACTACTTAATTTCCAATATACAGCCTCTTTCCAACATACCCGATTTATTCGATTGATAATTTGATGGCACATCTTCAAATGAGCTCCATTCTTTATTTTCCCCGTCCAGAGCTTTGCAGCTAAGACTCAAAATGCTAAGGGCTTATGGCCATATCGCGTTGAAGCACCGGTCCTGATACGATAATCGAAGTTAAGCAACGCCAAGCCTGGTCAGTTCCTAGATGATTGGCCACTTGGAAATACCAGGGGCTGTCGGCTTGAATGTATGGGTGGTGTAATGGATAACGTTTAGGAATTGAAAATTCTCCCCTCAGATATGGGTTAATTAGTAAGACTTGCATCTGTAAATCATTATTATCTAAAAACAAAATCTTACAATCTAATACTATTTTCAGAATTTGAATATCCAGAAAAAGGTATGTAAGCCGTAAAAAATCAATCAAACAATCAATCGCAGTGCTACGTCCTAGTAGGTGAATAACCCGCATTTCGTCCGTATTCTAATGGTAAGGAGGAAGTTCTCCTTGGAGAGCTTTTTTTCCTAGAACTGCTTATTTGTTGAACAAACTCCTGCGTGGGTAATTCCCTGACTAACCTCTTCAAATAAAAAGTCAATCACTATTTACAATCATAATATTCTCATCCTTCTACTTCCGCCTACTTTCATATCACAGACCTCATTCTGAAACCTTATACAATAAGTGGCTTTCGAGCCTTGTATTGGGAGGATTTAGTAAAAAAAAAAAAAATCAAGGCGCAAAATACCTATCTTATATATCTTTAACTGTATCGTTAGCCATGCTTAGAATACTGCTGCCACATATGGTCCCGTGTCCCTGATGTATATTTAAAGACTCTTGATAAAATCTAAAGAAGAACCAGCAATATTATTGATGCTGACCTGGCATCTCGTCTTCAGTCAATTTCCCACCGCAGTAAAGTAACCATTTCTATAAACACTTTCATGGTAATTGTTCACAGTAGGATCGATAACATTAAGAAACCATTCTTTGGATTTTGTCGCGAATTTAGAGATATATAGTCGGACTATCAGACAAGTTATGGCACCAATATTCAGTACATGGACAAATGAGAGTTTTATACAAAATGGACAAATGGTAGTTTAATACAAAATATAAAAAGTTTTGTACAAAATGGATTCCGACGAGAAAAACTGTCTGGCACGACAGGATGAACCAACTTCCACAGCATTAGACTTAGTAATTTGTTCAATCCACTCCATGTCAGTGGAAAAAAGTGAGACCAAAAAGGCGAAACGTGTTTCTCTCTTGGGGGTTAGCATCAGCCATGTTAATGGAAGGCAAAAATGGTTCTCTATGATGATTAAAGGATAGCAGTTTCCCTTCTGAGGCGTTAAAATGTACAAGCTATGTCTTACCTCAGTTAATAACTAATTGGATGTTATTTTCGAGAGCAGCTGCCTATCAGGCTGTAAATATGGCAAATAAAAAAGAGGATATTTTTCAAAACAATATTTTTTTTTCTTAAACCTTTTACATACAAAACTTGATGTTGCTAATTTCATAACAAAAAAATATTGTAAATTCCAATCGCTGGTGCTGAAGTGATAAAAAATAAGTACAAAAATTGTACCATTTCTTCCAAATATATCTTTCATGAAGCTTTTGAACTAAATGATAAATATCTTTACTGGTGTTTACATGGCTACATGAAGGGAAAATCTAATCGATATAAGGGAAAACGTGCCAGATTTTTTTTCCTGGGTTTATTAAAATGTGTCATATGCGTTCTATTCTAAAATAGTCAACGGGTCTTGTAGAATGTCTACCTGTACAGTTGGTTTGACATTATATGAAGAGGATTTGAGAAATCCACGGCATTTTTTCGGATCTATGCGTCACTAAATGCGTTTTATCAGAGGACGCAATATGTGACACGGAAATACGAAGGTGCTTTGGCACACGAAATATGCTTTCCGAAAGCTCAGCAAAGTATTAAAAACATGAATATTTCATTAGAAGCAAAGAAAATAGAACTAATCTACAACGAATCCGCCAATATTTCAGTGAATGTTAAACAAAGAAATAACACTAAACTAATATCAACCCGACTATATTGCAGTGAATGTGTGTGTATATAAAGCAGGAAGTAACATATATATATATATATATATATATATATATATATATATATATATATATATATATATATGTATGTATGTATAAAGTATGAGTGTAACAAATTATACCAGGACAAATGCAAAGTACATATGATAGGATAGGAACGGCAAAGTACTGAAAACTGTTCAGACGTTTAGGATGCTTGTTTGCTGTACATTTGTAACATGTGAATGGTCGTTTCATTTGCGAAATTTACCTGCAGATTTTTTTCTCTCCTTTTTCTTTTCCAATTTGTCATAGAGTTTTTGAAGTTAAGCGCAGTACTAGACTGGCGTCGAGATCTCATCAATTTAAAGTTGAGCTGGCTAGATGTAACAGTAATTCTATGCTAACCGTTTCTTTTCTCGCACTTCTTGCTTGAGAGACTCTCCTGGCTCTTCCAGTCAACTTTCATCTGCAAAGATTTAAATCCAGTGTCAGTCGCTATCTACTGTCCTCCTGATTACACCTTTTCATTTCCCGCTCATTATTAATGCCTCTGTTATTAATTTTCCGCAACTAGTAAACCCTTGTGTCTTAGTGGCTTTACTGCCTTCTATGGGGTGATACTGACTTTTTAAAAATTACACTTGGTTCCAAAAAACGAAAATTCCTCATAATTCGGACTCATAAAAAAGTTATTTTGAAATAATAGTTCAACATTATTATTTTAGTGCATTTGTTCCAGACGTTCTGAGGCCAACCATAAGGTCAGATGGCAGACAAAATAGGGATGTCGATTTTGATTGGCTGAGTCGAACGTGGGAATGTTAAAGATATAGAAAGTGTTTTTGAGGAGTTAAGATTTTACACGTCATACACAGCAGATGTGGTTATTTCGTGTCTCGGGGAACTTGCTCCCCAGTGGGGTGATAGAACGATCCCACTGGCTAGTCAACCATGAGACCTCCCCAGAAGAGAGGGAGTATGCAACATTCTCAGCTTGACCACTTTTCCAAAATGTGAACAAATGGCGTGCCTGTGTCTGTGTGTGTGTGTGTAGGGGTGCAGTGAACCTAGAACTTTTCAGTGGGTGCACAATTTCAACTCGGAATGTAATCTCGGAGCTAAGGGGTAGGGTTAGGGGTTAGGGTTAGGGATTTTAAATCAAGTTGAAATTAGTTCCGAGTTGAAATTAATTCCGAGTTGAAATTAATTCCGAGGTGAAATTAGTTCCGAGTTGAAATTAATTCCGAGGTGAAATTAGTTCCGAGTTGAAATTAATTCCGGGTTGAAATAATTCCGGGTTGAAATTAATTCCGAGTTGAAATTAATTCCGAGGTGAAATTAGTTCCGAGTTGAAATTAATTCCGAGTTGAAATTAGTTCCGAGGTGAAATTAGTTCCGAGTTGAAATTAATTCTGTCACTCCTTTTCAGTACTCACGCGTCTATTTACAGAAATCAGATGGATAACTTCATAGAATACAGTAGCCTGGCAGATAAAAAGACAGATTTGCAGTTGGTGATAAATATAGGGATTATAAGAATATGAAAGTTTAGGGGAGAGGAAAATCCCGCAATTGATAAAATTGACCATTATTTGATACTGGTCCCTGTTGACAGCAGGGCCACTTAACAAATATTCAGCAAGGCATTCCACTGGGGAACCTGTTCTAAATGAACGCATTCTCTCGCTGAAAGCCAAGGCATGCACTTTGATCTACCATTTAACTCGGCGCACAAATTACATCCTTTTGTGCGATAAAAACGGAGGAAATTTACAGGAAGCTGGCAGATCAACGGAGGGATGAATGAAAGGGAGTCACCCGGTGATGTGAGAAACGAAGCTTTCCTGAAAGTTAGCTTTCACTAACTTGATATGAATACCGCTATTGAGAGTCAATGACAAGCCTTTAAATACCTTTATACTATGAACAGGCATAGCTAGCTAGCTAGCTAGCTAGCTAGCTAGATAGATAGATAGATAGATAGATAGATAGATAGATAAGACTAGTTGGATATGAACAGATTGGCATAGATAGATACGAACAGACGGAGATAGATATAATTGAATAGATAGATAGATAGATAGATAGATAGATAGATAGATAGATATGACAAGACTAGTTGGATATGAACAGATTGGCAAAGATAGATACGAACAGACGGAGATAGATATTATTGAATAGTCTGGCATAGATAGATAGATAGATAGATAGATAGATAGATAGATAGATAGATATGACAAGACTAGTTGGATATGAACAGATTGGCAAAGATAGATACGAACAGACGGAGATAGATATTATTGAATAGTCTGGCATAGATAGATAGATAGATAGATAGATAGATAGATAGATAGATAGATAGATATGACAAGACTAGTTGGATATGAACAGATTGGCAAAGATAGATACGAACAGACGGAGATAGATATAATTGAATAGTCTGGCAGAGATAGATAGATAGATAGATAGATAGATAGATAGATAGATAGATAGATAGATAGATAGATAGATAAAGAGAGCTAGTTTGAAAGATCTATAGATAGGAGAAGACTGTATTAAGTAAATATATATGAGCAAGCTTCAGTATAAACATAGAAAGACAGTGATAGAGAGAGAAGATACAGAAGGATGTAAGAAAGAAAGAAAGAAAGTCAGGAAAAAACATAGCTAATTAGCTAGATATAATCTGACTGAGATAGATAGATAGATAGATAGATAGATAGATAGATAGATAGATAGATAGATAGATAGAGTTTGCGTCAGATCGAGAGAGAGAGTAAATAATACCGAATAAAATACAAACAGAATGATAGAAAACTAGAGTATGGCCCAATGTTATTAGCCTGATATATTTCTTAATTTAATTTTCATTAGAAATGTTCGGTCTATATTCTTAACAGTGGGGAACGTTTTTAAGTACTTAATTGTTATACGTAATTTAAGGCGAACAGGCAAAAATAATTATTGTATCAGGAGTAATTTAAACTCACGATATTTGTACTTAAATGACTTCTGATACAATATATATATATATATATATATATATATATATATATATATATATATATATATATATATATGTATATGTATATGTATAGTAAAGGCAATAAATCTGTTGGTATATAATCCAAGTGGATCCTAGTAATATAAAATATGAAAACTGATCCACAAAAAGAGCTCAATGTATTTATTACATTATGCCTATAACTGGTAACACAGATATTTGAAGGAAAAAAAAATTACCAGCAATACATTTGAAAAAAAAATATTACCAGCAATAAAAAACTTGTCGGCATTAAATAACCCATAGAGATTGATATGGCGTAAAACAAACGAAACCAAACTCATAGAAGATAATAAAAAAAAGAATTAGCTTGGCTTTTTTTTATTTAAGTGTTTCACCCCAAGCAAAGCGGGAAGCCACTAGGACGCAAGGGGTTACAGATGATTTGGAGCGAGAGCAGATAGGAGTGATAGAGGAAAGGATGAGGAGAAGGATAGTGGATAGATCAAGGCAACTGGAGATGTCGATTGACATTACATTTGTATAGTTGGAGATTATAGCTCTCAGGGGAACTGGAATAGGGAAGGGAGTTCCACAGGCGAGTGGTGCGAGACATGAAGCTATTGGAGTAGAAGAGACGGCTACATTTAGGAGTTTCGACAGTGAAGGGGTGAGAGCGGGATGCCAGCCTCGTAGGGCGCTTGAATTCATGAAGTCTGGGAACCAGCGAATGCAGCTTCTCGGAGCAATCTCAAAAACAAGGTAAAATTAAGAAGAGATCAAAACGAAGATCAAGTCAAAATTTAAAAAAATAACAGCAAGCCAGATTTAAGAGACTTAACGGTTAGAAATAATTAGTAAGCCAATTACCAGAAAAAATTACCAGAAGAAAATGTCCAAACCACGACAAATAACAGGTAAAACTAAGAGCCAGTCAAAACTACCTACAGATAAAAACTAACGGAATTAATTAACAATAAACCTAAACTAGCGGAATTAACAATCAAAAAGACTTAATTTGGCTCACCACCGGAGAACAATGAGAATAATTAAGGGTACATTAGGATTAGCGAGTACGAACTAACAGAATCAATAGGAAAAACTAACAGAATTAGTGTTCAAGCATCTTGACTACTTACCAGAAAAAACAGCAGAGCAAATTTTACAGCTTCTCAAAACTTATAGAAGGGTCAAAAAGTATTAGCATGGTTTATCATCAGAAAACAAGGTTGAATCTAATAACAAATAAAAACTATCACGTCAAAACAAACAGAATTAAGTTAAAAATAAAAAGTCCAAACTAACTACAAGTCATGACTAACAGTATTATGTAACAAGTCAAAACTGACGGAATTAATGTTCTTGGCTTTTTGTCGAAATTAACGCTATTTGTCCCTTGTCCAAAAGCAGTAAGACAAAATTAATAGCGATTCAAACCTAACAATCCCTAAGACAACTAAAAAAAAAAACTAACCGCAAATCAAAGGTAAAAAAATAGAATGCTCTTATAGATATATCTTGACTCTTTACTAGAAAACAGGGAGGCAAAATTCGCAGCAAGTCAGAAGTCACATCTAGTTTAAAAAATGTTTTCACATCTGGTTTGAAAACTAAGTCTTTTTTTATCCTTTGATCACACCCACAATTAACGTTCAAACAGAATTAGCTTGGCTCCTTACCAGAAAACAGCAAGTCAAATATACTAGTTTGCGACCATTAGACGACAACTACGCCCACCTTTGTCTCTCTATCTCTTCTTTTTGTCATTGTTTTTTAAATTTGTTAAACAAATGAACTACTTTTATTTGCCCTTAATTTCTTTCGACTCGATCGATTTTGCTTCATCGTGCTGACCTTACCAACAAACCCTTGTACAGACAAGCGAAACGTTCGTTTTCAGCAGTCTATCAATTTTGACACTCGCATAGCAAGAGCCACCGGCTTCTTAGGAAATCCGTTCTATTTTCATTACGTGATTTTTTTTTTTTTGTTCAATTGCTGTTTTGTTCGTTCCTTTCGACATGACTTTCTTCATTCCATCCTTGAAGCGCTTATAGAATTTAAACGGCTGTGTGTCTGTATGTATTCTATGTGTGTGCGTCTTTACATACGATAAACAAAGAAAGAAACAAAAATAGGCTTTCTTCAGTGAAGTTCATCATATATATATATATATATATATATATATATATATATATATATATATAAATTCATAACGGATTTGGAGGTTTTTGTATATTATTTGAATTGTTTTGCGACGATGGATTTCTCGCCAATTAAATCATTAACCTTTGCATTTGTTTTTGTGTGAATAATTCATGAATTTGTAAATTGGTTGCACGTTTATCGTAATATATATATATATATATATATATATATATATATATATATATATATATATATATATATACATATATATGGTGGACTCTCCTGTCGAATTCGACGTACGAGGGTCAAGCAGCTCAGTTCCTAGGAAGTGACAGCCAGACACCAGCACATATGATTTGATTATAGTGTTGAAGGCTTTGTGCAGAACCAACCACACTTTTTGAAGGGCCAAATGACCCTGCCCGGGTTTTCAATTCAGAGTTGCCCTTCCCCTAGACCAATTACCATCCAATGTTATAGCACCCAGTCTGTATTGCTATTTACCCATAGCTGGAGTGGGGTAGAAAAGGATTCACACTTTTTCCCAAAAATATTAGCACGAAAGTGAATGTAATGGATTCAACGGGAATTCGAACTCCGATTCCTCAATCCAAGCTGCTATCCACTACTCCACCATATCTCCATATTCATAAATACAGTTTATAATTATAAAAAAACAGCGGCCATAACATTCATCGAGTGATTACTGAGTTAATGCATCTTTAAAATTTAGTTAGCAAAGGGATTTAGCCATTTTATATCACTAACTTTACTAATTTTCTTTTTGTATGAATGATTTATTATATATATATATATATATATATATATATCTACCAACCAAATATGTTAGCTCTATCTCTGATATTGAGCGCTTTCTAATAAGTACATGTACATATAATATATAAATAATTATACATATATATTTTATTTATATTTATATACACTTTTCACACACACACATATATATATATTTACATATATATATATATATATATATATATATATATATATATATATATATATATATATATATATATATATATATATATATATATATGAAATTCCTATATATATGATTTATATATTATACTAGCAGTAGCGCCTGGGGATGTAGCAGTAAGAGATAGATCAAGTATCGACCATCATAAAGACTGAAAAATAAAATTGACAAAGATTATTTTTTAAGGTTGACGGACACGCATGTCTTAATTAGTTTTTTTTTTTTTTTACGAATTGGTCAAACCCAAACTCAAACAAAAACATTGTTTTCAATCGTTATGAGACTACCGATTGAATAAAATTTTATTATAAACAATTGTCTTGTAAATGGAATTTTTAAAGCATTTTGAATGTAAAAATAAAGAAAAAAGACAATAAGAAACACTACCTGCCAAAAAAGAAAGTGAAGTTTTGTTGAAATCGGTTGAAAAATGTAGGAAATCCGATCCCATATATAAACGAACACACACACACACAAACAACCTGGGTTTTATAATAAGTATAACTCGATATGAGTTGTCCCCCTTTCATTCTCGCGATGCCTCTTAATCGTGTTTTCAAATTGATTTCGTGCAAAAACAATTGTGTTTTTCCAATTTTTGGCGCTGTCAGAACAACCGCAAGGTAATTTTACGTAGTCTTGTGAAGTTTTGTTGAAATCGGTTGAAAAATGTAGGAAATGACGTTAGGCCGCAAACTTTAAAAACGGCTGAGATCCTCCGAAGGTTATTTCTAATAATGAATGTTGGCGTAAGAAGTTGTGTCCTAATATTTGGTCGTAGCATAGATCTTTTGTCAGTAGATATCTTACTCCTTGGCATAAAGCATCCTTTACTCATGGAGCAACTAAGCAGTATACAAATAATTTACGGAAAGAATTCCCACGAATTTGCTTTCGCAATGCTTGCGTTACGGAAGATTTATGTGCTCCCTATGACCATCAGTGTTTTTAGTGGCTGTTCATTCGCCATGATTTCTGTCGTTGTAAGCAGCTGATAACTAGCCAAGTTGATGCAATGATGCCGAACAAGATACCGTTTCTCCCCGCTTTCAGCCCAATATCCCTGCTTTCCGCATGTATAACGTTTGTCCCTTCTAGCGGGGCATGAAGCGTGTCTCTTTTCCCCGTAGTAAAAACGTA